GAAAAGGTATTTTTGAGTTCCATTCCTGGTTATTTTTAGAGGATTAGATGCAGTAATCAGCCACCCTCACTCAGGATCTGTTTGTGCAAATCAGGTTAAACTAGAACAGTTTTATATCATTTTTTAATGTTGGGAATATTGTTTTCAATTTTGGTAAAGATTAATCTTTATTTTAAAAGTGCCCAAGCCAGACATGGAATATAAAATGTGGACATAGCATAGATTTGACATTATTGCAATCATTATTCATTTTATAGCCTTTGCTTAAAATCTCTGACATGGATCTCTTCTTTTTTCTGGTTAGAGACAGCCTATTTCCCATGTTATATAAAGTTAGGGTTGAGGGATTTTTATTTTTATACTGCATAACTGGCTTACATTTGTACTTCCTTCAACTGAACGACATTTGCCACTGGTTGATCACTCACCCTGTGATCAACCTTCTAGAACTCTTCACAGACACATTAATCTTTTAATCATCCTGAATAGTTCATCTTTTTGAAAACAGTGAAACTGCAAACAACCACTTTCTGTGGTTGCCGAACTAGGAATCTGGTTTCAGAAGATCCAGAATAATTTATACATGAGGTAGAGAATTCAAACAACCAGCAAATAATTGTATCTTCATCTAAAATCGAGTTCTAAATATCTTCCATGCTGCAATTTATGTTATTCATGTTTAATGTTTTTAAGACAATTGGAGGTTTCATTCCAACTGACAACTCTCTCTTCCTGTCACCTTCACAGACATCTAATTACTCACTTACTCCCCTCCCCCTTGCGTGTGTGTGTGTGTGTGTGTGTGTGTGTGTGTGTGTGTGTGTGTATCTATGTATGTTTTGGTGGATATCACAAAGTAATGGTTTTCAGTGCTTCAGAACAGAAACTTGAGAATTAGATTAGAATATCCATAAGCCAGGAGACCGTGAGGTCTTGTCCCACCTTAACCATGAAAGCTAGCTGGGTGATTTTGGGCCAGTCACTATCTCTCAGCCCTACCCACCTCACAGGGTTGTTGTGGAGAAAATAGGAGGAGGAAGGAGTATTAAGTGTGTTTGCTGCCTTGAGTTACTTATACAGTAATCAAGGCAGGATAAAATCTAATAAATAAACCGGGTGAAGGAAAAACATGACTTTCCGCATTTCTACCCCCACTTATGAAATGAATGACAGCACTGTAAATATGGCTCTACAGTAAATATGGCTCTGTAAATATGGCCCACAGTATAACACTTTTGATGCAGAACTTCTTCACAACTAAACCGCCCTTTGCAGTACAACAGCAAAGTCCTTTTTGAACTGAGTTCAGCTGTTTTCATAATAGAAATGATTAGTATTGGTAATAGATAAATAAATAAAGGTGCTATTCTTATTCTTATAGTAATGTTGATAACAATAACAGTATTCACACCATTGCAACATAGTACCTGTCTGGGGAGAAGGGTACTTTGGTTTTTATTTATTTTTTTAGGGATTGTTGTGAGCTGCCTAGAACTCATTGAATGATAGAAGTCCTGCAAATAAAGAAATAAACTGTGATGCACCAAAAACTATTTCTCAACAGCCACAAAAAAAGAGCTAATTTCTAGGCTATCTCCTGTAGAATGCAAAGCCGCCAATCTATTGTGCTCAAAGGAAGGCCATGATGCTTCAACAGAAGAAAGGCAAACAAAGCAAAGCAAGAAACGAGGCTAACTTCCTTTCCTATCTGCCACAAGTGACATGTTAAGTTACAGTTAATCAGGTGATATGCGGTCTTAACCAAGCAGACTTGATGAAACTATTATTTTTTGACCTCCTTTTTGGGATGCCTCGGCTGTCATTTTAATGGTGCTGTGGTTTGTGCCACGTGACCTTTATTTTTATTTCTGTATTTAACTTGTATGACTGCCCATCTCAAGCCAGTGATTCTGGATTGTGAACAATTATGAAATCACTAAAACCAATTTACAGGACCAGTACAAATAAATAAATAAATAGAACTGCAGCTGAGAAATTTGATAATCCAGCATAGGTTTTTGTTCTGGACAAGCCTTTTCTTTCTTTCTTTCTTTTTTTCTTTCTTTTCTTTCCTTTTCTTTCTATTAAATATGAATACTGCCCAACTCCTAGCCACTCTGGGTGATTCATTAAATAAAAAACACAGAGAGAAATAGTAATAAAACCCTAAAGACAAGGGAACAAAAAGATAACAAAAGCGAGTAGCAATGAGAACATGCATACTCTACTTAGAAGAGTCTTCAATCAGCCTAGCCAAAAGCCAGGGCAGAATAGCCAAGGCTTAAGGCTCTGCAAAATGTCAGTATGGTGGGGCTGCCTAAATTTAATACCAAATCATACAAAGGAACAATATCTACTTAAGATGTACATTTACAAGGATTCAAGGCAGCTGACGAATGAATGAAAGACAGAATGTTTTCCTAGTTCTCCACACCCCTACTCTACAAGAAAGTGAAAAAAAAAAAGAGAACATGTTTATTTAATTATGATGAGCCGGCCTAGATAGAAAAGAACACTTGGGGGGTATAAAACAGTTCATCTTGCCCTATAATATGAATCTTCTGGGTTAGAAAGTAGATCTGTGGATGTGAATGAATTTTTAAAAATATAGCTAAACTAAGCAAACTGTATAATTATTAAAATAAGATCCTACTGCTTCTAGACAAGTCTTGAAGGTATATTTTATTACACATGCTTTAAACTTGTACTTCCTCTTCAGTCACTTTTCATATGCACCGTGAATCCAGTAAGTTATAAATTCATGTTCCTAGCTTTGCTTGACAGGTGTGTATTAAGGATGAAAGGGTTCTACAAAAATTACATCAATTAAACATAACAATGACAGAAAGTACTAAATCCATTCCAGTAAAAAAGGTAGTTTGCTTTTGCCAATCTTTTCTATCATGACAGTCAAGTGATTTCCTGGAATGGGATACCACACTATAGGGTTGTGAGTAACATATAGTCCATAGTCCAGTATCTCTGAAAGTTGCTGTGGTTAGATATTTTGTCACCATTCCCTAACCTTCAGCCTTCAAGATATGTTTGGACTAATGCCCTACATTTCTTACATTTTGCTGACATATTATATCATTGTCACTTGTGTGTGTGTGTGTGTGTAGGACTCCAACATGAAATGGAGATGGGATCAACCAGCTTCCCCAAATCTGGATTCATTCCAAGTTCATATTGAGGGCATCCTAGAGAAAGGATAATGGAGTGCCTGAGGTTCAGATACATATGCCTTCCCCACCTTGCCATCCTCTGAGCACGCTGCAATGGTCAGGATCCCAACAGAGTCCCAGAAGTTTGGAAGGAACACTGGATTAGGAAGGGTAATATGTGCATGTGGGAGTGGGGTGAGGAGAGGCATTCTAAGATTCCTTCTTGGAACTTGTTAGGAAAGACTTATGGTCTGATTGGATCCTGCAGGTTTTGACTGAAAAACTGGATCCTCCTAGTCTGGTTCTCCCTCCTCCCATTATACTTCTGCCCCCCCCCCTTTTTAACCTAGTATTTTCCCTTTTCCTCCTCGCCAGTGTTGTCTGCTTATAGCCCATATCTTTCCTGTTCCACTGAACCCTGATGAGTTCCATACATTGCTCTACTAAGGGCACCCCTGAGCCAAAGCTAAGCAAGTTCCATACCCTTGGAGAAACAAACCTATTTCATGAAATGTTAATCCTTGTTTCTTGCAGGAATCCAAATAAAAGTGTCGTGGGCTTTGGAGAGTATTCCAGTGTCTGCTTAGAGGCAACCAGAAAAGGGAAAGGCTGCTCTGCTTCCAGCACTGGTGATCCACTTCTGAGCCAAAGATCCTAAAGAAAAAAATTGTCCATGTTTAGGAAAAGGGTTTTTGGAATTATTATTTGGGGGGGGGGGGCTTCTTAGTTTTCTGTATATGGCTGTCTTTTCCCAAGATAAGGCAACCATATGAGGAAAATAAAGACAAGAGAACCCAGGTATATTCTACTAAGAAGAGAATGCATATTCTGTTACATACAGGAAGGTCAGCTTTCCCCAAACTGGTGCTTTTCTGCTTGGGGTGCAACACACGAGATCCTGAGTTAGAGATTATGGGCTTTGTAGTCTGGCATATCTGGGGGTAGGAGTTGGTTTTGAGATGATGGGAGGCATGAAACATTCTTAAGGCAGCTTCCGATGTTCCGGCTGCGTCTCAGGCTGAAGTTCAGCTCTGGCATTGGGCTGTTATCCTGGAGGTCCATTAAAATGAAATAACAACAACAACAACAACAATAATAATAATAATTTACGAGGTCCTCCCCAAATAAAAAGAATAACTTCGCTTAGCTCAAGGTCTGGGAATATGCAAATATGCCACTTTGTTTTCATAGTTTTGAAGCTATAAATGATAGGTTTTATCAGTCACTTGGTGGGCTTTGACCCCGAAAATTTGTACGGTCCAAACGTTTGCGCACGCCCTATGTTTTAAATTAAAAGAACAGCTGCGATCCTCTCCGACTGCTCACCCTCCTGGATGGGGTGGGTGGTGGTGGGTGGGCTGAGACCCACCCAGCTCGAAAACAACGAGGTCGTCACCCTCATCTGAGCACGATTCAATCCCGCCGCCACCCGACTTCAAGGTCGCAGGCCAGGCAGAGGCAGTTCGGATGGTTACGTGCGCGTGGGTGTTGGGGCAGGCAGGAAAAAGATTCGCGGATCCCTGAGAAACGATCCACGTGCCCCGGCGTTTTGCATTCCAAAATAAGAATCAAGTGTTTCCTTCCCTCCGTGCAATGCAAGCCAAGGCGCCGCCAAAGTTTGAGAAAGGGGCGGGGAAGAGAAGTCGGACTTCCCCTCCCGCCGCTGGTTTTCAATAGCCTGATTTCTGAGAAATCAGGCTCCTCTAAACAGCGGGCTGCCTGAAGCGCTGATTGGCCGCGGCGCGAGCCCTTTCAGGGCGCTGATTGGCTAAGCCGGCCGCGCTTGTGTCTCTGTCTCTCTCCCCCCCCCCCCCCCCCCCCCCCGGCGGGGGGGGGGGGGGGGGAATTCCCGGTGACTTGTAGAATAATACAGGCTGCTCCTGGACAGTCGCCTGCAGAAACGGGGAGTCTCTTGAACTGAGCGGAGCGGAGCTGGAGCCCACACAGGAAGACGCTGTCGATCGCTCGGGTGCTGCCGAAGGGTGTGATCCTCAATCAAGTCCTGCAAGGTGGGTCGCGCCTTAAAACCCCGAGGCAGGCACCGCTCAGTTCGGGGCAACGGTCCCCTGAATAACTTTCATCCACCGGAGCGGCATGAAGGAACGAGACGGGTGGGGTGGCGGGAGCGCTCTTAAGACCCACCGAGGCTGGGATCGGAGGTTCAAGTGGATCCGACGGGGTTTATTTGATTATTTATTTATTTTAGCGCCGCGTTGATCTGCAGGTCCCCTTCCCGCTTAGCCCTATTTAGACGGGGAGAAATCTAGCCTGGGGACATCCGAATCCGTTAGTCGTTTGCAGTAAGAATTTCTTTTTAAAAACTTCCTGGCCAGTTGGGACCTATACTCCGGAGCCGAGAGATTCCCCCCCCCCCCCGTTACAAAGCGCGTTAAAAGGGCGGAAATGTTCTCAAAGTACACGGGGTGAGTGGGTGTCCCGCCACAGGCTTAGAAAAGTCGGCTTGGGTGACTTTGGGCCAGTCAGTCTGTCTCAGCCCAATTTTTTTCGGGGGAAAATAGGAGGAGGAAGGAGTATTCAGTATTTTCGTCGCCTTCACATTATTATTATTATTATTATTATTATTATTATTATTATTATTATTATTATTATTATTATTATTATTATTATTATTATTATTAAATACTAATACTAATACTGATGATGATGATGATGATGATGATGATGATGATATGTAACCTCGCCGTTTGTAAGCGAGAGGAGTCAGGTGTTCGCAGAAGCGCGCACGCACGGCGGCTTCAGTAGAATTGGTGCAACTATGCAGTCGGCGCTCCGGCTACTCAGTAAGGGAACTCTTGCGAAGTGAGAAAGGCGCGTGCGTTGTATTGATTTTAAGTTGCAACAGTAATAGTTTGATTTGCAAAGTTGTAAAAAAAAGTTAGTGGCTTGGTTGACTGTATCCGAGTTTTACCAAAGAGAGAATTGTGTGGCCGTGATTTCCAGTAATGGGTGGTGTTGCTTCTTTTGTTCTTTGGATCAGGAAGTAGAGCGTTGGCGAGAGAAGAGAAAAGAAAGGGGCCGAGTGAGGAGAGACAGTTCTGGGTATATCCTTGAGTGCAGTCCAGAAGTTCCAACAGGAGAATACATTTTAAAACAAACCAGAATCTTGGAAAGAATTTTGGAAAAGGCTGGATAAAGGAGTAGAGATATCCATTGATTGCTTGTTGTATCTTATGATTATTACTAAGTGTTATCTTATGATTCTTGAATGTATCTTTTCTTTTATGTACACTGAGAGCATTTGCACCAAGACAAATTCCTTGTGTGTCCAATCACACTTGTCCAATAAAGAATTCTATTCTATGCTATATTATGCTGTGCTATTCTACTCTATTCTACTCTATTCATTAGGTTGTTCTCTTGAAACCCTTGCAGGGATGAATACATGTGAGACAAACTGGTGGAACAAGAGAATCATAACACACCTGGCAAGGAAGGATCATGCTTCAAACCTAAACATTTCAATTTGACCATTCCAACTTTACTGATAAACCCCCATTGAATTCAGCATGGAAGTTTTTCCATGGAAGTAAATATATGATTTGCAGGTGTCTCCTTAAGCATCCCAGGGCAAATGCATGCAGTGCAGAGTTTTGCTCCTGTAACAGGTGCATGAAAATGCAAAATTCACCCTTTGGAATACCTTAGAGATCAATGTCACACACAGGAATATGCTTTGCAAGAAGGAATCAGACACCAGCCAGAGCTGAATTAAAAAGCTTGAATTGGCTTGGAGTAGGGACCTTAGTAAGTCCATGCTATATCCCTACTATTACCGGTAGTTGAAACAGGATTCAAAAGGCCAATTGTAAACCTCTAGAAAGCAGTTGATAATTCTTGACCTTTTTCTTCATAACTGCTCTTGTTAAGGATTTAAACAATAAAGATGAGATCCTTTTTATTAAAGTTGAATTAATTGTGTTTCCCCCTGAATGAGCTTCTGCAGTCTGAAACCACCTGGTCCCGATCCAAATCTTGCAAACAGGAAATCATCAAGCCTTGTGTTTGCTTGTGTGCCAAATGACAACATTCATGCTGTTTTATAAAAATTCCCCTAAGTGTAAGGGATCTTTTCAGTCCTGATTCTTACTACCATGGGTAAAGGGCACTTTGCATCTGTCAGGCATTTCAGGGAAAGTTCACTAGCTAGAACTATCATTAAACTTAAAAAGAGTTGTCCAAACAATATTAGGAGGTAATATTAGGAGGTAATTAGGAGGCTGCATTGGTTGGCCAGAGGCCAATGTGATAAAAGCTGGACTGAGGTGTGAGGTGTGGCGGTCTAAGCCCCATTCTTTTTATAGATGAGTGGAACTTTTGGTGCATTTTAGTTATTTTGACAAAAGAAGAAAACTTCTGCGGATACCTACATGCAAGCAATGCATGTATATACATATACATGTGTGTGTGTGTGTAAAACCCTAACCCTGCAGCCTTTTCCTCCCTCCCTCCCTCAACCAGGATATAGCATAAGGAGCTATATTGGAGTTGGGGGAGACTCACTGGAGACTGGGCAACAGTTCCTGGAGGGAATTTGGATGCCTGCATTCTTAAGTATTATATGGGGCTTGATCCGGATATTTGATGAGCTGATTCTGCAACTTATTGCATCCTAGAAAGCCTGCCGATGCATCCATGAAGAAAAAAAAAACACACCCTCATTTGTAAAAGTTTTGCTAAAGCTGTTTGGAAATCATAGGGGGAGAGAGGGGCAAGATAGAGAAAAGCCATTTCCATTTTACCTTTGGAAGATGAAAATTTTTATTTTTAAAAGCTACCTGTAGGAATTTAAGGGGTAAACCAAAACACAGGTAGGAGATTCTCTCCCCTTAACCCTGCCTGCTGTTAATAATCCTGAGCCATTGTTTGATGACTCAAAGCTCTTCTCCAAGAGCTCTCCCCTACATATCTTGGTTTATACACGCCACCAGTGCTAATAATGATACATTTCTGATGTCTTCATGTAGCCCTTCCTGCTATTTTGATCAATTATATATTAAATTCTGCAGCAGAGGAGCAGAAGCAGCATGGTGGCATTTTCTGGATGGACAACTGTCTTTTTGCAAGTCTATGCTGAAAGAGGAAGAATAAGAGACCAGGTGTATGCAAAGGCATGGAAGGGGGTGTTTCAGAACAGCAGAAGGAACACCTCCTCACAAATAATCAAAGCATCTTTTCCCAGATTCGTATTGTTGTTTTGGAAGATGCTTTTGGCTGACCCGGATGCTTCAGTGGGAGAATAGGAAGCACGGGATAGTATTCCAAGTTTCATTTGACCTAACATTAGTAATTAGGGAGCAGTCTTTTCTAACTTTTGTTAAATTCTAAATAGGCTTGTTAGTGGCTTTCAAAGCATTTGTCAACTGAATTATTATGGTTGGTCACACAGTCAGCCAGATGTCTGATTTGGCATTTTTATTTAAATTGAGGCCTTATCAAAAACCTGGGATAGGCAGATGTTTTATTACTATTATTAGATTTATACCTAATTTATATTTAAATCACATTAATATATCCCATTACCTCATTTTATTATGTAAGTGGCTCTGGGCAGTTTACAGATTAAAAATCATAAAACCGTATAAAAAGATACAACCAAAATAGAATGAGAAACAAATAAAAGCAAAGTAAAAGATAAAAGGCAGAGAGAATACCCTCAAGGTACCATCCACTCCAAGGTTTCATGGTGTGAATTATATATAATTCAAAGAGGGGAATTTACCTAGACTCCTGCTTCCTATTTTCTCACAACAATCCTGTGAAGTGGGTTGAGCTGAGAGTGACTGGCCCAAAACCACCCAGATCACACCTAAAGTGGGAGTAGAATTCAGTTTCCTGGCTTCTAGGCCAGCATCATGACTGCTAACCAGATTGGCTTTTTATATTATCGATGTAAAAGTATCATAACAGTCTAATTTAATATCCATGATGTGACAATACTAACTCTTAAACTTTTTCTTAGGATCTTGTATTTTGTGAAGCACTGCACACGCAGATAGTGTTATATGAATAAAAACACTGGTTTCTTTATTAGGGGAAATAGATTTAAATAAATAGTTTTTGGGAAAATACATTGTCCATTACAATATGAACCACTGGTCTCCATGATATTTCTAGAAGTTAGAGATTTTCGCTTGTGTTTATAACTCCTGACTTTTTCTTTTTTAGAGCCAGAATGCCACAAACCAGGATGCGCATGAGACCTTGGCTGGAACAGCAGATTAATTCAGATAAAATTCCTGGGCTTTGTTGGCTCAATAAGGTATAGTAGAAAACTTACATTTTTGCACTATTTTTTAAAAAGGCTAGCTTTGTGCACTTTTCTTGTTTCAAGTTTAATACAAAGTTATTATAGAACACGAAACATTATTGTGAGGAAAGTAGTGAGGCTTCAGTGCAATAATTTGTTGTTTAAGAATAACTACCCATAGGGGGGGAAATGTCAAGATCAAAGGAGCAAAAATATTGAAAAGAAATTGAGAATGCAAATTAAATAAATATTTAATGTATTTGATGTTATGTTTAAAATTAATTTTAACATCAGTCTGAGCTCTACAACTGAGATAACTTGATAATATGCTCTTGTACTTTTCTAGCTTTTTAAAATGCCAAATAGTTGAGATATGTAAGAAGTTCAGGCAGAGCTAATAGGCTTACTTCTCTGTGGTTAAGAACATTTACATATGTTATAGTAAACGGTAGGGAAATAAATCAATATATCTTTGTTTATTTTGTTTTATACAACAACTGGTTATGAAATGCTATGCTATTGAATTGAAGGTTATACAAGACAAATGCTAAACCAAATAAATTATCAGAAATGTAGGTTTGTTTATTACTTGGTTAATTCGGGGGTTGTTCTTCATTTTCAGTTTTCTACCATTTTCTTGATTTTGTTTTCTCTGTGCAATTCAGTGATGCTTACTCAGAAGTGTATTTTTTTTTTCAATTTCAGAAAGATAAAATATTTCAGATCCCTTGGAAACATGCAGCTAAGCATGGGTGGGAACTGGAAAAAGATGCCTGCCTGTTCAAAAATTGGGCTGTTCATACTGGTAGGTGCTGTTTTGTCCTGGTGATAGCGAAACATTTCTAGAGATTTTCTAGAGACTCATATGGCTACTGTATTTGAGGGAGGAATCATATTAACACTAGCCAAAGGGATCCCTTTCCTTGCCCTGCCTCTTTAGGTTAAGAGTTTGTGGTTTCTTCGTTGAGTATTTGTGGTCAGTATACTCATAGGGAGTTGTATGCTGTAAAAGTTTCGGGTTTCAGAATGCACTGGAGCACAAGGGCACTGCCTTCTTAAAGCATGCAACCTTTTTAAAGCTTGCATGAAAGTCTGACAAACAGATCTTGCCTCTGTTGGAAGTTATATGATTCCCCTCTCTTCTAGGAAAAGAAAAGAAATCTTAAAACATTAGAAGGGGAAGGAAAATTCCCCTTAAAAAAAGGAGAGGTGAAAACACAAGCAGCTCCATTAGCCCCCACCTTTGCATGGGATACAGAAAAAGCCTACAAACTAGCTAAGATCCTTTCCCATAGAAATCAAATAGATGGCAAGCTATAAAAACTTGTGAAAAGCAAATCAAAAGGCATGATAGGAAACTCAGGATATTGCAACCTAATGCAACAAGCAGCTACAAAGTGAACAAGCAGCTACTATAAAACAATTACTCCTACCAAGATCCCAGGAAGAGATCCCAATCTCAAGAGACAGGAACTCTTCACATACACACAAATCAAAGACTTCAAGGGTTCACACTTAAAAAATCAAAGGATCTGAAGGGCATAAGAAAGGGGGTTCTCTACTCACAAGATTAGATTAATCCCAGGAATGCTGTAGGACTTCTTACTTGCCTTCTTCCTATTAATAAACTGATTCTGACTTCCAGTGCAGCTGACCAATCATTTTGCAGTAACATCTCCCAGCTGGGAAATTTGAATCCATAAAAGGAAAGAGCTTTGCCTTTTCATTAAAGAGCAAGGCTTCCTTTTCCTTTCCACACCTCTGGGCATTCCAAAACATCTCCTCTAAATAGTTTTTGAAGCAAGTACAACAGCAGCATTTACTAGTTAAAACAACTCGAAAGACATTTAGGATCCCGCTGGCTGAATATAGCTTTTACTTTGTTTATTGCATACCTAGTTTTATGCCATCTGTCTTTTTACAGGGAGATACAAAGAAGGTGATGTAGAACCTGATCCAAAAACATGGAAGGCAAATTTCCGATGTGCCATGAATTCTTTGCCTGACATTCAAGAAGTGAAGGATCAAAGCATTAGCAAAGGACCCAGTGCTGTTCGAGTTTATAAGATGCTGAATCCCCCAGTAAAAGCAGAGAAAAAAGGTATTGCTCAAAACATATGAAGGATGGGTATTATTCCCAATACTTGTAATATAGCATTTGATTCCAGTGTTACCTAAAAGGCAGCCAGGTTGTCAGTTTTATGGTAACAACTGAAATCCATAGGAAAAATTTCCAAGAATGGCTATGGCTTTGTGGCCAACAGAATTTTGCACTATTGCAAACTTGGAGAAGAAAATGTTATAAGATGGATTACGCCTGAATTGTCTGGCTGTTGCATTGTCTGTCATCCCCTCTCTCTTAAAATGTGTTTATTCTAAGCCTGTGTTTTTGTTTTGTTTTTTCCAACAGAAAAAAAGTCAAAGTCTCCAAAAAGCAAGAGCCCAAGAAAGGTATGTGTTTAAAAGATTTGTATGACTACCCACCGAAAAACACAACTCTGGTTAGCTGACCACAACAATAATATCCAGAACTATAAAAATCATAAAACGTATCTTAGAAAAACATAAACTATGTAAAACCTTACATACAACATATGTCTTTTCTTGAATAGCTTAAGTAAAACATGCATGTGAAATATTAAAAGGGCACAGATTTGTGGATATTTGCAAGGCAGAAGTCAAAATCTGCAAGGTGACTGGTCCAACCATGATAGAAAGTGTGCCTACCATCTTGTAGATTTGAACCCTACTCTTCCCTGAAGATGCCACTGTTCAGCTTTCATACAAGGGGTACTTCCTGTGTCTCTACATCCATTGAAAATCTTCTTACTGAGAATGTTGTGGAAGAGAGAACAAGATGGCTTTTGGCATTCCTGTTGAAGGAAATGCATGTAGTTCTCGATTTACAGCCATTCATTTAGTGATGTTTCAAAGTTCCAATGATGCTGAAAAAAAGTGATTTATGACTGTTTTTCACACTTAAAATGGTTGTAGTATCTCTGGATCATGGGATCAAAATTCAGACACTTGACAACTTGGCATCTATTTATGATGGTTTGCAGCTTCCTGGGGTTTATGTGATCCCTTTTTGTGACTTTCTAATAAGCAAAGTCAACGGGGAAGCAAGATTCACTTAACCAACTGTGTTACTAACTTAAAAACTGCAGTGATGCACTTAACAGGTGTGGCAAGAAAGGTTGTAAAAGTCATTTAACAGCTGTTTTGCTCAGCAACTGAAATTTTGAGCTAAATTGTGGTTGTAAGTCGAGGACTACCTGGAGAGAAGCATTTTGGGACTCGGTTGACATATTTTTAGTTTCTTGATCCCTTTTTATCAGTTATCTAATTCTTTAAGAAATGACTTCCATCCCTTCTGCCTAATTTTATTGCCAGTGTTGAATCTTTCAAAATAAAAATCTATTTGGACTCCCAGCTTGCTCAGCTGTCCCACTCTCATATCTCAGCTATAGACAATTGCCATCTAAAGGCCACTTCATTGTATGAAAATTTATGCAAGAAAAGAAAAGCTCTCAACAATTTACTTCTGCCAAAAGCTGTGCAGAAATACCTCCCAAGGGGATAATACTGATTACAATGAAATAAACACATTCACATGTCTTGACCTTAAAATGGGTCCCCAACCCCTGGTCCACACTGGGCCACGACATGTCAAAAAATGGGCTGTGCAAGTGAAGTCCCATCTGCGGGATGCAGGCAGCATGTGAAACCACGCCCCTTCCAGTCTGTGGAAAAACTACTCCACAGAACTGGTCCCTGGTGCCCAAAAGGTTGGAGGCTGCTGCCTTAAAAGACATAAAGTTGACATTTTGCCATAATCCAGTCCTTCATCTTTTGCAGTCAGTGGACGATATTAAGGAAGAGACAGTCGAAGCAACAAACAGCATTCAGTTGCATGATGACCACAGTGGCTATGTGCTTCCTAGCTATGCAGCAGAGGACATGGAAGTGGGGAGCACATTTGGTAAGAAACAATTTTAATCGGTTGTGTGGGTCTCACAAGGAAAAACCAGACCTGCTGAGTCCATTTTTCAGCTTGCTTGAGTAGAGAAAAGCTAGGCTGTCAGGGATGTTAAGGAATTAAGACATTTGTCTTTATTTATTCTATATTGACAAATTCCCAACAAACTATTGGACTTCTCAAAACTAAAGAAAATGAAATGGTGGGATTTATATGACTGGTTGAAATGGGGTTGATTAGGTTTGTGTCTGAGTATGTTGTAGGAACTCAGACATTGAATCAGCGTTTGTGTAAAGTTGTGATCATCGGCTTAAGGTGCAATATCAGTTATTTGTCTGGTCATAGAATCTCATGTTTTGTTCATGATGGTGCTGTTGTCAATTATTTTGTTTGTTTGTGTGAAATATATATTCCTTGCATTATAAACATCATACTTTCAATGGACATTTTTAGGTCTTCCCTGTGACCTGAACAATGGTGCCTGCCCATTGGATATTCAGGCCCCTGACAGCACAAACAACATATACAGACTTCAGGTTTCACCCGCTTCTTCTTCTTCTGAAGGTTAGCATTTAATTGTTCATAACCAGCTGATTGATCATAATTGGATTGAGGAACCAGAGCCAAGAAAACAGCAGGGTTTAGGTCAACTGCCCACATGGATTGGACTTTCAGCTCCAATAATCCCTTAGATAATACAATTTTCAGCTCCTTGGAGCTGAGATTCTGATTAAGGAAGGATGTTTAGGTTGTCTGTCTACTCTCTACCTTCTTTTAAAAAAGTCAAAGCTTCATACATAGTCTCATATTGGATGCATTCTTGGTTAGAAATAGGTTTTAATGAGGGTGATGTAATGATATAAAAGTTTTTTTTATTTAGTTTACTACAGGCCTGACCCAGTGAAAGTTAAACCCATGTAAATCTCATTAATTTTATTAAGAGAATGGAAATATATACCTAAATCTTTCCCGTTGAAATAAAGGGCTTATAAATACTTAATTACAACCTGCCTTTTGCAGTAAAAGAATTCTAGATATCAAACCAGTGTGAACCGAAGACAGGCATTACTTGCATGAGCATAAATTATCCAATGCTTTATTTTAATTTTGTCATTGACTAGAAAGGTGTTATTGTTAATAATAGAAAACTGGAAAATAAATATTTAGGAAACAATATTTCCTAAGATTCATTGGGTATGTTTCTTTTCTCTCCCCTTCCCTTCCTTGATGACTTCGTATAACCTCACAATAACTGATGAAGAGGAGGATATTCCACTGTATGATGTAAGATTCTCTCTCTTTTTAAATAATTTTGGCTTTGTAAATAATTTTGGCATTGGGATAATACATGAAGTCTAAGGGCAATAGGGGGTATGTGGGCATGCAATGTGTACAAGAATTCCCATTTGTCTTAGTTGAGAAGGGATACTTTAGGGCAGGGGTGTCAAACTCGCGGGCTGTAGGCCGGATATGTCATGCACTGGCCATGCCTATGCCTGGTTTAGCGAAGAGGGAAAAAAGTCCTGATACGTCATGTGATGCCATGACAACGCGAGTTTGACACCCCTGGTTTAGGGTGTCTTTCTTTGCTTCTGAACCACATTAGATCGTAAGAATCCATGAAACCTAAAAATATGGCTGCAATCTTTGTTTTGTAACCTGCATCTTAGAAAGGTGTTTTTGAATTGAACAAAACAGTGTTTTTGAATTGAACTAGAAAAAAGTTCAGTTTGTTGATCTCTTTTATCTTTCTTCTTGGGCAGATCTTCAACAGCTCTGAGTGGCAACAAAACAGCATTGGTGGAAAAGGGTTCCTGTTAAATGAAGCTGGAATCGGAAAAGGGTTCCTGTTAAGTGAAACTGGAATGCAGAATCTCTCCCTGGACTTTAATTTGCAAGAGCAAGATACTGCCTTTGAGATACCAAAGCTAGGTATAAATATTTCACCTACATCTTCGGATTACTGAAATGTATAATGTCTCTCTTTATCTCTTTAGACTATTATTGAATAACAAATCTGTGTCATATAGGACAGGGATCCCCAACCTTTTCAACGCCACGGCCCGGTTCCGGCATCAGCTAGGCGCCGCGGCCCGGTACCGGCATCAACTGGGCGCCGCCATCTTTTTATGACGAAAAAGCGCTTCCGGTGATGTCACCGGAAGTGCTTTTTCGTCAAAAAAGATGGCGGCGCCCAGCAACCAGCGGCCCGGTAAGGCTTGTTCCGCAGCACGGTACCGGTCCGCGGACCGGCGGTTGGGGACCCCTGATATAGGAGACAACCGAGCCCAAAATTTCTGCTGATAACAAGCAAGGCAATTGTTAAATAAGTCATGCCCCATTTTATGATCTTAACATGGTTGTTAGGCGAATAGCTACAGTTGTTACACGAATCATGAGATGATTAAGCGAATCTGGCTTAATCATCCCTATTGATTTTCCTTGCAAATGAATTCAGTCCCAAGACTCCAGAATGGCTGCAACCATTATAAATGCATGCTGGTTGCCCAGCAACCAAACTTTGATCATGTGATTGTGGGGAGGCTGCATTGGTCACAAGTGTGAGAACTGCTCATAACTCACTCTTTTTTCATTGCTCTTGTAACTTTTAATGAATGGTTAAAAGTTTAATTAAATGAATGGTTGTAAGTTGTGGACTACTTTTATAGGCCCTTCAACTCTGATGGCTCTACTCATTAATATCTTTAGGCCAGCATTATAAGAGTCATACATGGTCTATTGTCATATTGCCTGATCATAACAAGGGTTCTGGAAGCTACATGTATTGCATTTCATAGAAATAGTGCTGGTTGGAATTATGATTATACTGTATAGGTTAAGATCTTCTACCCATACTTAGTTTTAGACCTCTATCCACCTTTTCCAATTTAACAAGAGCTCTTTTGGGGGAAGAGAAGATCATCACACACATACATGATTTTTGGTAGTTTCATTGAACTTGTGATAGATTCCCTACTACATTTACTAGTGAAACCACATTCTAAATCTTGATTTCTCCCTTTTTCCACAGAACTAATTTCATATGAGTCAAAATCCAGTGCAGATTGCACTTTGTTGGACATTCGAACACACATTGTACCCTCTATATCCTGTGGCATTTAAACCTATTTGTCACTAGGCTTGTATTGTTTTATTTTGAATCAGTTCTACATGTTTAAAATGGAAAGGTGCAAGCACTGTGTGTACAGTATATATGTATGTATCTTTGTGAATGAAACTGTAGGTTTATGCGTAACTTGCCTCATGAGCCAATTAAGGCTTGTTTGCTGCTTCTTTCACTCTGTTCATCCATTAGTAGGATTAGATTATAAATAATTTTAAATATGGAAAAAAGTAAAGAAACAGAAGCTTTTCACTGTTGGTAAATTGATATATATTTAAAGCCCGTCCAGAGTATAAGCTGAAAATTATTATCTGAGAAATTAGTGATGCCCTGGGGGCAGGGAAAATGAGCCTCCAACCAGATATTTCTTGGTTATATTTTTCTTATTCAAATTTATCTTGGCCTTTAGTCCTATCTTAGCATGTTAAACTGTGAAAAACAGATAATGTTTTTTATAACACATTCCACTGGTTATTTTGGACTTGTTTTATACTATTGCTATTTTCTCCAGTAAAAAAATATGCTTTGAAGTTGATAGGCGAATGTATGGATTATTTGCACTGTGCTTTTCAAGATGTCAACTGAATAGGTATTACGAAGAGTGCAAAAATGCATCATAGGGTTATATCAACTAAACCAGAAGATAAAGAAAAGGATTTGTCAGAGTGCTAGGCTGCAGCTTAAATTCTTGTACATTATTTTCCTTGTACATTGTTGTATATAAATTGTCTTAATTAAAGATTGTTATATATGAAGATATGTTTAATTTTTTTTATTACCTGTTGCTGACAAAGAAATTAGAAAAATATTTTCTTAGCTCGACTAGAGTTTCGATATACAAAACTTTTTAGCGCTGTTAAGACACTGAAGAAAATAAAGACATTTTGTTCAATGAAAAGAAATACTCATTTTATCGCAAACAATAAGGTATATTTACCCATTCCTTTTATACTTCCTTGAACTTCTGAAGAATGGTGTATACAAATAAAATGATTTTCAACTAAAGAAATCTCAAAAAAGGTTTATTCCGGTTTGGTTACTCTTAAGATTAAATCACATAAATCGTTAAAAAAGATCTTGAGAATCAGATTTGGGAACCAAATATGGATTGGAAAAAGGTATGTCTATTTTGATCAGTTCCTTAAAAGTGTGTAAACAACAACCATATTACGCCTGTCCATTTGCGTTGAATTAATGAAGTCCTCAATTTGCCACAATTGAGCCCAAAATCTCTGTTGCTAAGCGAGACGGTTTTGAAGTGAGTGTGTTTTGGCTTCATTTTGGGACCTTGCCACAGTTGCTAAATGAATCACCACAGTTGTTAAAAAAGTAACGGTTGTTAAGTGAATCTGGCTTCTCCGTTGACTTTGTCAGAAATTCACAAAAGGTGATCACATGACCCCAGGGGACACTGCAACCTTCAGTAAGTATGAACCAGATGCTAAGCATCTGAATTTTAATCATATGACCATGGGTATGATGCTATACAGGTGTGAAAAATGGTCATAAGTCATCTTTTTTTCAGTGCCATTGTAACAAATCAAAGACTACCTGTATATTGAAAAGAATGTGTAGGCTGAATATCCAAGGTTCTTTTTCCTTCTGGGTTAGTGTAGTATATTTACTGAAATTTCTAAAATTACATACATATCAGTAATGACTGGATTTCCTACAATTCATTAAAGATACTCTCTGCCATAATAGAAAGCTTGTTTTGTCCTTGGCAGTTAGTATCTGTGTAAAGTAGAGGCTTCAAACAATGACAGGTTCTATTCACAATGTATCAAATAGCTTATATGATGAGTTTATGTTAACTCATCCATAACAGCTCTTCCCTCTTTAGTTGACTGTCTTGGGGGGAAAAATCTTTTAAATATTGAGGTTTGTTATTTGTGTTTTTAAGAGTGATTTTCATTTTGTAATTTAAGATTTCCTACTTAACCTTTTAGATTAAATAAAATAGAAAGGCACATTTTTCTACTGATGGCTTCTCTTCTGATGTTTACTTAAAATAAACTTGACTCAACAACAAAATTTTATTATATAAACTTTATACTTTATTATGCACATGTTATTTACATAGAATATAATTTGCAAGCTCGGCTGGTTCTATTGCTTCCTGCTAATTGTAACAAATTTATCTCATATATACTGCACAATAAACTACAGAAAAATTGTATTGCTATCAAGTCAGTGGCTGCTTATAATCTAATAGATTTTCAAAATACAAGTTTTCACACTTCCTTCAACATTTGAATCTCTGGATTCTGCTGAGGTTTTTATCACATGTATTGCTATTACAGAGTACAGGAAAAAATGTAACATTTTTGTTCTTTATGATGTAAAAACCACCCAGAGTTACTTAGTCAAATGGACAGGATATAAATTTAAGAAATAAAAAAAATTACAGACAAGGTTAAGGTTATTTCTGTTTAGATTGGGTGCAGATCTCACTATCCATTCAAACTACGATTATACCTAAATCAATCCAATGCATACTTCTAAGTTGATGATTCCATATCATCTCAAACAAGTAAACACGACAAGTAAATCAAATAAAATCTAATATACCTGCCAAGGTTAGAAAGTTGTGATGATCAGCTGTCAGTTTTCCAATATAGGATTTCTCAGGCCATCTACTGCAAGGATGTCAAACTTGCGTTCTGTGGGCTGCATGCATCATGCGCTTGCCACGCCCATGCCTGGTTTAGTGAAGAGGGAAAACGTCATGATATATCATGTGACACCGCCGTGATGATGCAAGTTTGACAGCCCTGATCTACTGTTTGGGCCCATTGGAAAGGATTAAGAAAATAGAACAGAATAGAAATGGACCCAGAGTATAGAACGGTGATTCCTGGAAAAAAACAATAGCTGAGTAAATGTTTATTTTGATCTGCCCATCACTCTGATGTTCTGCAGAACTTGGGTAAAACCTTCCTGGAAACCTCTCAAATTCCATTGCAGATCCTGAGTCTCAGTTTGAGAAATGCTGCCTCAGTAACTCCTCAGATGTTTGCTAGGAAATACATCTGAAAAATCCATCTTTCTCTTGAAATCCATGAACTGCAGAGCTACAGTCAGTTTGTTTCAGAGTCAATGGTCAACTATGGGGCCTTCTGATTACTCAAGTTTTCCACTCTTCCATTTAAAAAAAAGCACTTGGGAGAGCTAGTTTATTTATATGCCACCCAATCTCTCTATCCAAAGTGACTCTGGATGGCTCATGGTTTATAACATTCACCAGAAAACTAATGGCTGATCATAATTTACCAATCCTTCCAGAGATGCCTCGGTTTTATGTTTTAATCATGTATAAATAAAACCTGGACTTCTGGTGGTTTCCAGCACAAAGCATGCTGTGAAATAAGAATAAAAGAGGGAAACACTATAAAGCCCCATAAGCAACATAGAGACAACCACTCCAGTGATGGGATTCAAATTTTTTTACTACTGGTGTGGCTTAGTGGGCATGGTGTGGCTTGGTGGGAGTCGCTTGGTGGGCATGGCAGGGGAAGGATACTATAAAATCCCCATTCCCTTCCCACTCCTGGGGGAAGGTTACTGCAAAATCTCCATTCCGTCCCCAGCCCATTAACCTGATTTCCAGCTCTGTTCTCCTGTGCAGGGCAACAAAAGAAGACCCAGCCAATCAGCTGGTACTCAGGAGGCAGAGAATAGATGGGACCGGGGCCAGTATTTGCCAGTTCTCCGAACTATTCAAAATTTCTGCTACCGGTTCTGCATAACTGGTCAGAACCTGCTGAATACCACCTCTGAACTGCTCAGTTGGTACCCACCAAGAAGGGCTTTTTCCTAACACTTTTGTTTCACTCACAAAATCAAAAACCATTTCTACTCCATAAAGAAAAAAGTAAGAATTAGATTTAACTTCATTGTGAGAACCTATTAAATCACTTTCTTTACTCTGTAACTGAGCCTTTAATTAGGTGGTGATGCCCAGCTTGAACTACCAGAACTGAGCCCCATTTAGTGAATGAAAAGCTATCCAGTTCAAGCTAGAAAAATGAAATACCACATCTACAGCAATACTCCCTGCTTGTTTCCTGTTTGAAACAAAAATATTCCTACAATGCCAGAGGATTCATGTAAAGTAATTAGTAATTAGGCAGTAATTCAGTGTTTATTATTGGGCTGTCATTCTCATTTAGAAGTCCCCACAGAGGAACTTCAAAGTCTTACTATCGCTTTAAAATAACTCTGGATATGCCTAGAACAGGGGTATCAAACTGGCGGCACCCAGTCCAGATGCGTCACATGCAGCCACGCCCACTCCAAATCCACAAAGGGAAACATGTTGGGATATGTCACGTGATGGAAATGTGATGTGGCAAGTTTGACACCCGTGGCCTAGAACAAGACAGCAAAAGGTAAGTATGCATCAGTGAAGTACTTGTTGTCTACAACAAACCAGCAAGAATTTCAAGCTCTTTATGATTTAATACTACCAAACAGGCACAATCAAGAACAAAGAAGTACTGCAAGATTGGAGGATGTGAAGAAATCTGGCCCATAGAGTTGCCAAGAGTTGGACATGACTGAATGGATAACATCATTGCCATCATTGTCATCATGCACAACAGGATTTGAGTGCAAGCTTAAGCTCTCTGCCCATTTTTTTTAAGTTTATGTGCCCAACTGAATCACTATTTTTCTGGCTGAAGTTAATAAACTTCAGAATTCCAGTGAAAAAGTAAAATAGAACCCACAAGCTTAATGTCTACCCACAACTCTGTTTTAAGACAAAATTCCTAGCTTGCTATTGTGTCTGTACAAAGAAACTTATTTTCTCATTAAGGAAAACAATGAGTCATGGAAAGCTTATATGCCATGACTCACTGATTTCTTAACTGAGGAATCCATTATTTTCTCTGCAAAATTTCACAGTTCCTCAGGATATGGATATGGATATGGATATACATGTGCATGTGCATGTGCATGTGCATGTGCATGTGCATGTGCATATACATATACATATACATATACATATACATATATATATATACATACATACATACATACATACATACATACATATATATATATATATATATGGTGTTCGGCTTGGTTCGGGTATTTTCCCACGTCATTGTAGTTGTTCTTTTAAAGTTGTAGCAACGTTTCAGCAGAATCTCATCTGCCATCATCAGGCTTCTGAAGCCTGATGATGGC